ATGGTGTGACTGTGTGCGATGTGTGTGTATGTATGTATGTGATCATGGGTACACATGTGTACCATGGAGCATGTGTAAAGGTCATAGGAAATCTGAAGTATTGACCTGAGGTAAAAAGTTCTTCCCCCTTTTTCTTTGGGGAGGAGATGACAAGGCCTCCTTTCTGACGTTCCCCTCTGCCATATGCCAGGCTGGCTGGCCTGTGAGCTTCCAAGTATTCCTTTGGCTCTGCTGCCTGTCATCTTCCCTAGGAGTTTCTGGATTACAGAAGCACAATACCATGCCCAACTTGTGTGTATCTGTCTGTGTATGTGTGCATGTGTGTGCATTAAATGGGAAACTCCTTCTTTTAAAATGCCATTTCAGAACTTAGCAGAGCCATCCCTGTAAAGCCAAGCAGAACAGGTCTGTTGGCCAAGTTTAACCTTGAGGTACCTTACTTGGTACCTCTGATCTACACCTATCCTCCTAGACCTGAGTTTAGTTGAGAATGTAGCCAATTCTTTCTTATGTACCTCCAAAACATGTCCCTTAATGGCTACTGATCCCATGCTTCCTGACAATGCCGAGATTTCCCAGAGTTCTTCATACACCTTCATGTGTGGACACGATAAATAACTCTTCTAACAAAAAGTTAACAAGGCCTTGAGCTAATTCGGCAGGGTCACCATCTGGGAGTCATCAGAAACAGAGAACTGTCAGCACTGTAAACATTTTAGGCTTCATGGAAGACACTGACTCTTTCTAAACTAATCAGTGCTGCCAGTCAAGATTTGCAGCAGAGATTCAAGAACGAGACATCCATTTAACAACAATAACAAGACCAGTGAGGATGAAAACCGTACAGTCACAATAACAAGGGTCTAAAAGCAAACTGTGACTTCCCTAATAAGGCAGAGACCCAAGTTGGCTCCCTGGCGGTCAAGCGCCAATACGATTAATCAGTCTGTTTCCAGTTTTCTTGCGACAGCAATATTAACAGTTTGCTTTACTCTGTTTATATGGTGCTGACAGGTCTTCAGCATGTTGGGCCTACTTGCTGGTGATTAATGACCACTCTCATTCTGATGTAAAACCAGGCAGGAAGAAAATGCCTTCTACGACTGGTTAGGAACCACACTCTCTGCTATTTTTGTTGTTGTTTCCCTGTTGCCCATTGGTACCCCTCTCTGTCTGAGGGTATTCATTCTCCTCTAACTGGTTCAGCTCTCTTTCTTTGCCCTGAGATGCTCTGCCCTCTGCTCAAAAAAAGAACCTAAAATGCACACTGTGAATGAGCTTGGCATCTTGAAAGATATTGTTGGTTCATTTTGTTATAAAAACCTCATTTCTATAAAAATGAAAGAATAGGTGTAAGGTGGCTCTGGAAATGAGTACTTTAGCATTTGGAGTAGGTAATAATCATGTTTACAGCTGTGTTTACATACATAGAAGACAGCAGAGATGGAATTATATACATGTTACTGTAGGAAGTATTGTCACCTCAGAAAGTCTGAGAGATTATTGCATTAAATAGTCCTACTTCAGCAAGGTCACAAAGACTTGAAATAATATAAAAGGACCCACCCTGTCCACATACTCTGCCTTATAAAAAGAAAGCTGTAAGCGTACTATTTATCCCTAGTGTACTTATCTTTTTCCCGTTGTTTTTTAATTCTCTTCATGTTTATGTCTATCTGTGCACACACGTTTGTGCTGTGGGGGCACGTGGAACGGTAAGGACAAGTTTGTAGGTGCTGGTTCTCTCCTTTACCACGTGGGTTCTGGGGATCAAACTCAGGTTATCAGACTTAGAAGCAGGTGCCTTTACCCATTTGGCCACCCTTCTTTTTCTGTTAACTTGTTTGTTTAGACAGAGTCTTGCAATACAGCCCTAGCTGACCCCACTCTTTCTATGTAGCACAGAATGGCTTTGACTCTGCACCCTTACTCCCTCAGCCTCATAAATGTAGGATTATAAGTGTGTGCCTCATCACCCAGTCACCAAATATTATTTTATTTTTATTGTACTTTATTTTATTGTGACAGAATCTCTGGTAGCCCAGACTGGCCTTGAATATATGATATAGCCAAAGATAACCTTGAACTCCTGATCTTCTTACCTCTGCCTACTTAAGTCCTGGGATTCAGGCATGTACTAACCCCAACATCATCTTAACATATCTCAGTGTAGAGGATCTAAGAAAATGAAAACTAAACAAAGAACGGGCTTCTTGTAAGGGCTGCTAGGAAGCAGCATCTCATTGCTTGCACTTAGATGTGCCTTGCATGCTCAGACACCAGGTAGCTTCCTACAACTTCCCTATGTGCTTCTCTCCTCAGAGAGCAGCAGAACTGCATTAGTTCTGACAGAGAGAACATCGGGGTTGGCTTTTAAGTGGAACATTTTATCAAAGGTCTTTGAAGTCAATGTAAGAACAATCTGATATGAAAGCACTATTAATTACAATAATACTATATACTAGGCGCCTACTATGGACCAGTACTGTTGTCAATGCTTCAGTTATGCTATGCAAACGTGTTCCATTCCCACTACTGTGACTGTCCTGAGTTAAACAACAGTCTTTGTTTGAAGTACAGAATATGAGAGAAAGTAGAACAATACACTCGGCTACATTTGGGCAAACTTTGAACCCCTTATGTGAACTTTAATATGGAATCTAATGTAAAGGATTGAGGGGAAAGGGCCAGAGTGCTATTCGCTAGACTAGTTATAAAGGTTCTAAAACAGCACTGGGAGAGGAAAGGAAAGGTTTAACAGTTATCTCAGAAACTGCAGTACACATTTTTAAATGTAGCAAACTTGGAATTTATCAAGAAAAGGCTTCAAAAGAGATGCAAGCAGGAAGGTAAAAGACTTAAGAACAGTACTATATGCCTTAGGGTAGCCTGGCCTTCCCAAGAGACATGGCTGACTGAATATTTTGATTCATTTGACCAGTTATTTCTTTAATTTATCCATTCAAACTCTTTGTAGGTCTGGATAGGTGGGTAAGGGGCAAATAGGGAAGGAAGGAGAAACTAACTGGAAGACGTCTTCCTCACACTGAGTAGGTGACTGGTTTCACTCACTGTTCAGTGGTCTCAACTGGCATTTATACCGATCTGTGCTTCTCTTCCTTCCCTGACTCTGTCCTTCCAGACACTCAAAAGTGTATGCACTGCTTTATGTGATGGCCAGGGGCAAGCCCAGAAGACAGAAAAGTGCCTTCATTCCTGTGGCTTTGCGACTAGCCTCTCAAGGGCTTTGCCCTAAACTTCCACTTCTCTCTTGCTGGTCCGGCTATAAGGCATAGTACATGGTGACAAATCGCAAGACTGCTGGAGTGGAGATTGTCAGTCATCCATAAGAGGAGGGGCCTTCTATTTAACTTCCAAATGCATGCCATATTTGGGATACTTTAACCAAAGCTAAATATTGTAATGGAAAGGTATCTAATAGGATTCCCATGTGAATTAGCATGTACCAAGTGCACTTGTACCAAGTGCAAGGTGACGGGCAGAAGCCTAGGGTGTGTATTTTAATGCCATGCTTAATTAGCATCCCATTAGCTTTTCATATCATCCACAAATACAGGCACAAGGAATACAAGCTCTGAACAAATCCAAAAAGTACTGAAGTAGCAAATGAGAATATTTTGAGGGCTAAAAGAAATGTTGTTTCTAGCTAATTCAGTTGCTAAATGAACTGGAACTACAAAATTCAACTGTCCTTCAAGGACAGTGCTGAGAATTTTTTTTAGGTGTATGGATGTTTTGCATGCATGTATGTATGCACACCGTGTGCATGAACTGCCCATCAGAAGAGGGCATAGGATACCCTAGAAGTGGGGTTACAGACAGTTGTCAGCTGCCATGTTGGGTGCTTGGGGTCAACCTTCTGGAATATAAGTAGGTACTTTTGACTACTGAGCTATCTTTCCAGTCCCCTAGAAAAGCTCTGGGTTTTTAAAGTGAAGGTCTGCCTAGCTCCTATGAAAGTAAGTCTCTACTGCTTTCTGGAAAAGCACCTAGGTGACTGAGTGGGAAGCGCTCTGCTCCATGACCTGCTTTTTAAATTATTATATCATAAGCGCTCATCTGCATAGCATATACCTTTCACTATCTACAGTTAGTTCTTTCTAAAATGTCTTCTTCAGATACCTGGGCTCGTGTCAGTTTCTTTGGATCTAATTGAATTTTAAACTGTAAATCATTTTGATTCTTTCCAAAGACCCTTATCCAGGTGGGCTTCCAGAAACATGTACTATGATTAATATATGCTGCTGGTCATTTCTATTAAAATGAAAAAAATCAAAAGGCATTTTAGGGACTTATGCATGCCATCAACAATTATTTCAAGTGTAAACTGGTTCATATATGCCAAAGGTGAGAATTTAAATGCTCATAAAATACAACTGTAAAAAAGGAAATTTATAAGAGCAAGCACATTTTAACTTCATTTTATGGATGTGAGTTTGGTTTGGCCTTGTGTGTTCTATGAACTGTGAGCTGACTCTGTTACAGAAAAGAGAGCAGCCTGTACCAAGTGCAAGGTGAAGGACAGAAGCCTAGGGTGTGTATTTTAACGCAATGCTTTCCTGCCTACAGTAGTTACCAAGTTAGTATATTTTTTTGTACAGAAAAAAAAAAAAGATTTGAATAATCATTTGCATTTTTCCCATTAAAATAATTTTTAGTTGTGAAATATTTCAGGCCTGCTCATGCTTACATATGATTAGCAACAAGTAAAACCTAGCAAAGTACTAACACCTGCCTACATGACCTGTGACAACCCCACGGGGTTATGACCTTAGGTTAACACACTGGAAGGGAAGGCTGAGCAGTTTGTTCACTTTTGCTTAGTTCAACTGACTGAGGACAAAGGAGAAAGTGAAATGAGCCCGGAGCAGAGGTGGTCTGGTGGTGGAGGGAGACACAAAGACCTGGAGAAGGGCTGCCTTGGAAAGGGGCTCAGGAGGCATCTGATGGGGTTCCTGAGCTGGCATTCAATGACTTACCTGCGTCGCAGATCCTCTGCCACTGCTGCCCGGCAGCTGAACAAATAGGCTCGTAGTGATTTCAACCGCTGTCGCAGCCGTACAACGGTGGCCAGCGGCTCAGCATGTAGGTATAGCATGGGGTTCTCCTGCTGGATGTCGATCAAGGGCTCTTCGTACACGTACTCCAGAAACTCCTTGGCCTGTTTGGACACCTGCAAAACACGCCTTGGCTGTCAGCACTGGCGAGTCACCCAGCCTTCCACACCTGTCTGCTCTGCCTAGTAACCACACCTTGTGACAAAGTAGGTAGTATTGCTGGTCACTGCTAAGGGAAGAGGTCCACTGAGGAGCTAAACACTGTGTAGCTTCTCTCTCACCTCTAGAAGCTCAACTGGCAAACGTGGAAGGAATTCATTAACTCCACAGCTCCACTGTGTTAGTAATTATATAAGCCTGTACCTGTGATGGCACGGACCTCACAGATCTACCATACCAATGTCATGTTTCTGATTTGTTTGGTTTTATGCATTCTACTGTAATGAACTAAGATGTGACCAAGGAAGAAACTTGGTGTAGGGTATTCAAATGCTTCCTGTCTGTTCGATTTGCTGTAGCTCTGTAATTATTTCAAGTACTGTACAAAAAAACCAAAACCAAAACAAAACAAAAAGACCCCACAAAAAAATTAAAAAAAAAACCCTCATAGTCTTTAAAAACTGTATGCAAACATGGATATATATTCTACAATACTTTAAAAAGGTACTTTTTAAAACAGAAAACGACATGTACTGTCAAATATTAATAAAAACATTAAAATAAATACATGGGTATGCTCAAGAAAAGAAAGAAAAGGGGGAGGGGCGGAAGGAGAAAAATCTTGTGGAAAGTAAATTGACTAAATAGAAACAGCTCGAAGGAGAGAGGAGAGGCCTTTAGAAGGCTGTGAGCGTGGGCTGACTCTTGTCCATGCGTCCGTCCACTCGAATCTTTACAAGTTCTTTTTAAGCAGCATTGCTTTAGGTTGAGGAAAACAGTGCACAGGAAATACAATGTACCAGAGAAAGAGAGGCGGCAGCTCCAGGGCAACCCACAACAGAGAGGAAGTTCACACCACCTCACACTATGTCACGTGCGTGACTGGACCCTCCAGGCTAGGTTGCTGATACTCAGATGGAAACCGCCCAGTGACAATAATGAGCTGGCTCAGCCTCTGTTTATGGAAGGTAAGCCTCTCCTCAAGTTCCCACTGTCTCCAGAAGCAAGGCTGGGATACTGCACTAACACAACAGCGTTGTACATTGAAAAGAAAACTGCAAATCCACTATGCTTTCCACTCCACGACAGCAGCTTACCAATGAGGAGAACGCAAGCCCTACCCTCACCTAGCTATTTAGTAGGAAAGATAAAGATTCAAAACAAAACCACATGCAGCCTGCTATCACAGAGTGCTTGCAGGTAGCTCAACGAGGGGAATCACCTTTCCTGGGGAAGGGGCAAGGAGCCAGGTAGGCCTGGTGAAGCAAGTAACGCTGGATCTAGGTCTGGAATTATAAGTGGAAACTCATTGGATGAACAGAATGGCCAGGGAAGTATGAGGAGGGAACAACAGGCTGACAAATCACAAGTCCCTTAAAATATAATAAGGAATGAAAGTGTGACTATTAGACGTGAGGCACTTATCAAAAGTATATCACTTACACACAATCATCAAGTTCTTCTCAAAGCAGAGCGCCCACATCTAAGTCTACGTTTCCTACAGGCTATGAAAGCGCATTATTTCTTAAAGTGTATGTGTGTGTGCTTATAAGCAATGATTTCTGAGATAAATGAGTGTGTGGTCTGGCCCTATGATGTCATGCAGTGAGTGACAAAGTTAAAGAAGCTTAATAGACTGAAAATCCAGGCTATGAGCAGCCCCAGAATTAGCCAAGATCTTTAGCTGCTTCACCAGATCAGAAACAACAAGGTACGAGACTGCAGTAGCCTCTACTCTCATTTGTGAAGCAAAGACATGAGTACATGCCAGATAGTGTAGCAGGCCAGGCCTTCTGTGAAGAACAAAGCAGCTGTGGCCCTGTCCTCAAGCACCTCCAGGCTCCAGCGCCATGCAGAAAGACAAAACTGAGTTACATGTTGTATTTATTGTGTTTACATATCAGCTGCACTTACATATTTTCAATGAGGAAAACAAGCCTGATGGTGTTCAGGGAAGTGAAGTACAATCCACTTGAAACTGTTGCTAAAAAATGATGTATTGTACAATTCAATTAGTCTTCCTGGGTGTACAGAACAGTGTTTATACTGAGTCAGGGCCCTGCTGAATTAGGTTAACAATGCTACCTTTTAGTAGGTGAACAGAAGGACAAAGGGCACTGGCCAGTCCCCCAGGCCTTAAAAGGATTCTCTCTTCAGGTGCTACTTAAGCCCAAAAGCAAAAGGGGAAAAAAAAATCTTTTACAGAGACAGTAAAAGCCAGGGACTAATAGGACAGCAGCTACTGAGAGCAGTGTTCATAAGCTAAAACAAGGAAAAAGAGAAACAGAGCTGGCTTCAGTAATGGCAAGGCACTGCCTTCCCAATTTATTAACGAGCTCTCCTCCCACAGAGTGCATCACTGGTTGCTTGGGTGTGTGAACGCATCCCTGGCTGCTGCAGCCATTTTTGGCAACAAGGCTGAGCTCATGGTCAAAGTCTTCAGAGCCCAGATTCCTTTGATTTCCACTCTATTCACAAAGACTAGTGAGGTAGGTTTTAGGAAAACTTGAAACTTGGCATGAAATAAATGTTAGTTGTGCAAAACAGAGCTTTATAATTAATCTCCTTCTGATTCCTTGAGCTCTCAAAGTTTTCCTTCCTTTATTGGCAAGATGATTGACTATTATAAAAAAGCTCTTTCCAAAAAGAAAACCTTTTAAGTGAGTATTGGCCTAAGGAAGAAGCTATACTCTTATTAACCTAAGGGAGAAGATGTCAGCAGTCTTCTTGGGCAGGAGTTTCTTCTTCTGCTAATCTACACATGGCATGAGTCACAGTTTAACACCAGGGAGGTTCCAATACATAGCTGAGCTACTGTCCCTCTTTCAAATCAAAACATGAAAACCAAAAATGCCAGAGTGCTATTTTTTTTATTTTTATTTATCATTATTATGTGAGTATGTAGTTGTGAATGATTGGCGGGATGGGACAACATTTTCATGTCATGTTTTACCTGTGAAGGTCAGAGGACAACTTTCAGGTCTGACTTCTCTTCTTCCATTGTTGGTTCTACAGACTGTAGTATGAAGTATGGGCTAGCCTAGGCTGGCCTAAAACACTGAGTTAGAGAATATGCACCACTGTCCCTGGTCTCATTGCTCTTGTAGTGCATAAACAGAACGGTTTATAACACAGGGACTCAACATCACTGCTGTGCGTATGCTTCTGATTCCTTGAGCTCTTGAGGTGTGTGAGCTGATTCTGTCTTCACAGCCCTGCAGTCTACATGACTTATGAGGGAAGAAGCCCAAGTAGAAACATGTCCCCTCCTGGTCACAATAAGGAAAATTAAAGAGGACAGCACAATCACACTGAAATTAGTTACAAACTAATGATGAGCAAATCTGTGACTGCACCCATGCACTGACAAATGAACAGGTAATCTGAACACTAAGTATAATCGTTGCAGATTTGAACACAGAATGCATCTTGTCACAATGGTAACAACTACCTCTTAATTGCAGAATTACTGGATGTTGCTCAGGTTTGCATAATCCTGAGAGAGGATTCTGGAATACTGTTCTGGCATGTTCACTCACAAAACAGCCCTGGGTAAAAAAGTAATGGGCAAAGGAAATAAACAGTCAACCACAGACGCAATTTGAAAATGATGCAGTGGTGGTATGGACGCCGTTTTTATTAAATGAGGGAAAGGCCAAAGAAAACACAAAAGGACATGATCTTAGCATAACAAGGAAAAGGAAAAAATAATCTAGTCAATTTTTCTCAATCTATGTTCCCAGGATTACTAGTCCCACAGAAAAGATTTCTTCAGTGTTAGGAAAATAAATAGGCTGCATTTCTTGGTGATTCAAAATGAAACATGTTCTCATATCCGAACTCTAAGACACTTGGTAGTAAAGAAAACCTGCTTGGGTTGGGTTAAGAATGTAGCTTGACAGTCATGACAAGGAGGGGAGGAGGAATGTGGGGAGGAGGAATGGGAAAAGAAGGAGGAAGACAAGGAGGAGAGGAAAGGATTACCTGCTTAACACATCTACTCCTCAAGTCTATTTCAGTGTAGACAGGACAGTTTAAGGATTACCTGCTTAAACCATTACTTCTCCAGCCTACTTCAGTACAGACAGGACAGTTTTGTGTGGTTTCAGCCCTGCTGTAGGCAGAAGAAAGGCTGGTCTATGCTCCACTCATTAGCTGGAAGCAGAACATCCTTCTCTAACTTCACTGTCTCCTCTGACCAAGCTGTAAACTCACTGGCTCTTTCCAATCCTCATCAAAATGGTGGCCTTCCAACAGAGTCCTACTCACAAGTGCCAAACTTGTGAGTGTTCCACAGAATCCACTTCGAAAAATAGTGAATTAAAAAAAAAAGAAAAATAGTGAATTAATTCATTGTCTGTATTTAATCAAGTCCAGAGACCTCAGATGACTTATTTATGGTCATGTCATGGCAGAGTGGACCCAGGACTCAGAACTCGGGACACCCTGCTCTGTGCTCCGCAGCCTGAAGTCACAGTGCCTTCAGTTTTTAATTACTCTGCCATAACTTATCTGTTCACTGTTCTATAAAAGAAGTGCTCCCTGTCCCTCCTCCATCCTTCTTTCCTGTCAGAAGGCAGGTAGGCTGCAAACAGAGACGGGCTATGATGCAATTAGACAAGACAGTGCTGGCATGCAGGCTCACACTTGAGCTCCACTCTAAAACGATGACGAGCATGCAGAAGCATTTCATGTCCAAAGTCAGTTCTGTATCTCTGCAGTTGTTTAATGTCTTGCCCCCTCCACTGAAGTAAAAGTCAGTTTTGTATCTCTGTAGTTGTTTAATGTCTTGCCCCTCCACTGAAGTAAAGCATTCATGAGGGCAGGGACCGTATTCCCTTTGAGCCGTACACTCTTACTTCAGACACAATTTTAACAGTTTGGTTTATTTGGTTATTTTCTAAGTTTATAACACATTTAGAGTCAATAATGAAGAAAGAGGAAAGGCAGCTAGAGGTAACAGCTTGTCTTGAATGCCTCTCAAGATGGAGAAATAGACTTGTGTAACATGGAAAACCCCTAACTAAATGGAATGTGAATATTCAGGCTAGGACACACAAAACATTTTTTAAAAGTACAACTATGGGGAAGTGCAAGGAAAGTTGAGTGTTTTGAATTGTATCTGATTGGTCTGAACGGGGAGCCAGGAAGTTACCTTTAAAGAGAATTTCGTTAGAAAATGGCTACAGAATTTAAGGATAAGGCTTAAATTAACTCCTTCTCCAACCATGAAGCCCAGTTCAGTCTGTAGCACAGACACCAGATATGAATGCAATCCTGCTTTTGAAAGTAATTACACTTACTAATACTCCAAAGGGCAGCCAGGAAATGCTTAAGATGACAATTTTATTCTGCTCTGCAAAACCATTTTTTCAGCGGGTAGTCAAGCAGTCACGTACTTGCTATTAAGTACAGTAGGCAGATCTAACAGAACGATGTCTGGATTTAGAAACTGATAGGTCTAAATTGATCCTCACAATTAGGAGCATTAAGCTAATTCCTGATATCTGAGCAAAGACAGACAGATGCTGGACTAAATGGAATATAGTTCCTCAATGCCAGTGACAGATGATCCAGATAAAATCAGCTGGCTGTGTTCCTGCAGTAAAATTGTCCCTGGTCCACTGAGAATGTGGGAAGCAGAGATCTGACTCCTCATGTGCAGCGTGAATGAAGTGAGTGTACCTAATAAACATGTTTAATTAGCTACCTATTCCCTCAAAGCAAGTCTAGTTATTTAAGGACCACCATGACATGGCCCATCTTACAGAGAGAGCCTAGGCTTCAGCACTAGCTAGCTTGGTGGTTGCCGTAGTCTTTAGAGCTCTCTGTGAACAGCCTGCCTTGGCCATTTGCTGTCAGTGCCTCCTTTTTGCTTTTGCTCCACTGACTGATAGGCATTCTGCTGGCAGGTGTCACCAGCCCCAGCTCTCAGCAGACCGTGGGGCCATGACTACCTCACTCACTTGGTGTTAGCTGTTAAAGCTGCTCCAAGCATATTAACCTAAAGTGAATTCAACCAGCCTGCCTCCCTAAATATGTTTTTATCTCATATGCGCACAAATACTATATTTATAGTCTATACTGGGAATGTCAAGTACAAGATGCAGAAGGAGGCAATGATAACTGTCTAGGAGAGGAAGGAAGGAATTAGGGGAGGAAATAAGGTTCAAGTCAAGTTTTAGGATTTGTTGGGCTAGGTGAGGACAAAAGAAAGCCAAGAGGTGTGAGCCAGGCTGGCAGAATAGGGATTAGAAAGGACAGGTGGGACTTTAAGGAAGGAAGAGACTGGTGGAAATGAATGTGGACAAAGGAGCCAGAGAGGGACTGGAGATCGCAAAGGGAGCTGGACTAATTACGGGGTCTGGCCTTAACTGAGCACTTATAATGCACTAGCACTGAGCTAGGCCCTTCTGTGACTCATCCAAGAAAAGAGCAGCCCTCATGGCATACATATCATTATTACCTCTATTGTAAGATGAAAACATAAGACAGGGACTGAGCAGGAAATGCACCTGAACATTAGGACCAGAAGTGAAGGCAAGAAACATCTCTAGAAAGCAGCTGACTTCTGTTGTGTGAATGCTATTGAGAGCATGTGTGTAGTCCTCAGAGCATGTGTGTAGTGGGGCTGAGAGCATGACCTCACGTTAAAATTAAGTCTTGGTTCTTGCATTGCAAGGACACATGAACTCAAACTGGTAGAGGGAATAATCGAGGATGTCTCCTGTGCTTGGCAGTAGAGGTGTGGGGTCACTCATACGACTATGAATATCTCCATCTGCAATTGCAGGCCGTGTGCATTTGGTAGAACATAGAGCGTGTTGAGTCTGAGGTGCCCATGGGATAGGCTTCAATCTCAGTCACTGGGCAGTCACTCCTGTTTACCTAAACTGTGCTAAGCCACACCTCCGTCCTCAGCCCACCTTCACAGAGAAAACACACAGTGGGAAGTTAATTATATAAGTAAGGCGGTGGTGAGAATACTGACTCCCACTCCATAAGTGCTGATCACACAATTTCTTACAGTTGTGATTGTGAGTCTAGCCTTTAAGCTAAGCCATCTCTCCAGCCCATTTGTAGTGCTTTTCTTTTTAAACTAAACTAAAATTTAAAAAAGTAATTAAATGTCTGTGTGTGGAAGAATGTACACATGTGAGTATAGGTGCCCAAGGAGTCCAGAAAAGGGAGTCAAATTCCCTGGAGCTAGAGCAGCTGTAAACTGTCTGACTTGGGTGCTGGGAACTGAGCTCAGGTCCCCTGCAAGAATAATGTATGTTCTTAACCACTGAGCGTCTACCAAGCCCTCAAATAAGATGATGGGATACTTGAGAGAGCTCAAGCCACCAAGTTTTCTGTGTTTCTCCTTTAATAACCTACTCCACACAACCCTCAAGTATAAATGTGTGCATAACAAAAAGCACAGTGCTTATTTGACATGCAGTGTGCTGGACACCATTCTATTATCTTCACATATGTCAGCCATTCAACCAGTGGGAATATTTAAGGTAACATTATCCTCATCTTGTAAACAAGAAAACTATAACACTGAGAGTCTAAATAACTTACCCAGGTCACACACCAGTAAGTGACAAAGCCAAGACTTGAACCTAGACAGGTTGGGCTCATTTTATATATTAGCAAACTGACGCTTGGAAGAGTTTAAGGAATTTTTCTCCCACTAACCAAACACTCAAGACGGGGCTGAGGTATGCTTTGGACAAATGTCTAATTAACACCAATCCACCATAGTAAACCATGCCGGGGAAAGGAGGGGCTAAGGTTGACACAGGAGCAGAAGAAAAACCCTTCTGTAAGAGGAGTGTGGCTCTTTGTGGAAGGTCGGTGAGGAGTGTGTGGCTCAGAGAAGCCTGTAGGTAAGTTGATGGGGCTGTTTCCTAATCATCCAATTTTCCCTATTAACAGGAGAGAGTTTCCAGAGAAACCCAGATGGAAACTCAATCTCTTAAGATCATACATAGCGAAACCAAGAAATCTGATCAAAACCACTGGTGCAAATGAAAAGAGCTTCCATGAGCTTCCAGTCCATCCCACACTCTCAGACTCCTTTCTCTCATTCTGCGGTTCAGCCAACTCCCCTGCTCTCTACAGGATGCCATTCTCCCTCTCTCAACTTCATTATTCCAGCCTTTCTCCTCTCTCCTGGGGAGTTCACATCAGCATAGAAAAACACGCTGTTATTTTTTTCTATTAAAACAAAAGTCAAACCTAACTTGACCCCGCTCCCCTTTGAGTCCCTCTCCACCTGTCTTCTTCCCTTCTGAGTAAAACTTCTATTCTTGTCCTTTCTTTCTTTCTTCCTATTCTATGTTGAGCCTGCTCCAGTCAGACCTCAGCTCCTGCCTTTCCATTCAGACTGCTCTCATTAGGGTCTCTAATTACCTCTACATGACTGAAGCCAATGGTCAGTCCTCAGGGCTCATCTTATGTGACCTATCAGCATCTGTCACAGTTCATCTGGAAGCACTTTCTTCACATGGCTTGTCAGGCTGCCTGGGCTCCTTCTACCTCACTGCTCACTCACCCCTGGTCTCCTGCAACCCTTCGCTGCCCCTCTTCTCTCCACCCTCTTACATTAGGTTGACCCAACACGTCTTGCGGGTTCCTCCTCCCTGTTGCTTTGCATTTTTATAGCTGACAAATATGCTATTCCTACTACCTGGGTGCCTCCCTTGTCTGATAGTCATTACTGTGCAAAGCTCTTAGCATACCCCAACATTTCTCATCAGCTCCCATGTTTTAATCAACAGGAGTTCTAATAAGTGCTTGAGGATTGCTAACTGTACTCTTCCTTCAGTGGGCTGCTACCCAGAAGTCCTCCTAGTGTCTCCTAGGGTTCCAGTTCCAAGGGCTGAATATGCCTGAAGACTGACTGGCTTTCACTTGAATCAGTGCTATTTGATAACAAGAAACACTTTGGGTCACATATGCCTTCTCCAGAGATCAGAGGCATGCTCTTGAACAGTCTCCATTTTCTAATAAAAATCCAAGAGAGGCCTCCAACTGTATAGAATTCTCTTAGCACCTATAGTTAATTATCAAGGCCTAGAGGGAAAAACTTATAGACAGATAAATATGTCAAAAGATATACATATATTTTAAAATTAAGAAATTAATGAGAATCATAATAAAAAAATCTTTATAAACAGTGAGATGGGTAAGAAGCATTAGATAAAGTCTGGTGGCACAGATAGGCATAATGGCATGTGTCTGTCAGCCCAACTCTGTCAGCTAGAGACAGAGGGAATGTGAATTTGGGGCCAGTCTGAACTACTGAGATCCTGTTTTTTATTTTTGTTTTGTTTTGTTTTACAAGACTAATTAAATTTGCCTCAGTTTATAGTTATCTTTAAAATCTACCTGACAATATACAAACACCTGAATTGCCACCATCAAGTGTACCCAAGGTTGGCACCTACCTTGTATTTTGAGGTGTCCCAGTTGTGAACTATGCGTGCTGGGATGAAAAAGCTGTCATCCACGTGGCAGCTGCTGCAGTAGTACCACCCACTGTAATTGCACACCTTGGCCTGGCCATTAGAGAGACCAATAGATCGCTGGCACCCTGTTCAAGGCAAAGGACAGACAATGATTGCAGCTGGACTTTGAACACTGCAGAACAAGGCTATACAGCCCTTAAGTTTAAAGACATCTGTAGCAGAGAACGCATGGACCCATGTGTCCCTTCCTTCCTAATCTGAGAGTCTTGACACCTTCATCTCCTGAGGGACAGACACTGTGTCACCTAACTAGACCCTTGTCCTTAGTCCTCTCTGATTCAGTTTCTTCTCCACATGGCTCCAGAGAGCAGTTTCTCCACAACTCTACCTTTATTTTCTCACCTTTCTCTTCAGAAACTAATTCATACTACACATTTAGCTGGGAGTTTCTAATATGGGTTTGTTTGGCTTACATAAATCTCTGAGAAAAGAGACCTCTTTTTTATTGATGGAAAACAAACAAGTAAACAAACAAATAAAACCAGAGCCAGGCATAGTGGTCCACCCCTGCAGTCCCAGAACCTGAGGCAAAGATCTTGGGTTCAAGGCCAGTGTAGGTTGCATGGCAAGTTCCAGAGTTCCAAGCAGCCTGGGCCATTTAGCTAGCCCCTGTCTCAAAGAAACAAAGCCAGGAGCCAGGTATGTAGCTCAGCTGGTGGAGTACTTGCTGAGCATAAAAGAAGCCCTAAGTTCAACCCTCAGCACTGCATAAAACTGTGATATGGTGGCACTTGCATCTAGAGGCATTTCAATGTCAGAGGGAAGAGGATTAGAAGTTAAAGGTCATTTTGGGTATATATCAAGTTTGAGGTTAGCCTGTGTAACATGACATTTTGTTCACAAAAAGAAAATCAAAACTAAACCAAGACAAAATAAATTTAAATAAATAAATGAATAAATAAATGGAAGAAAAGGAAGGCAAGTAAGGACAGAGAGGGGAAGAAAAGAAAGCTTTTTCAATATTAAATATGTTGTATGAGGTTACTCAGCAAATCAAAGGTAGAGCTTGGATCTGGCGTCAGCTGTTCTAGTGACATGACCCCAAACTGACACACAGCATTTCTTTGCTCGACAAACGTCAATGTAAGGAGTCCAGATTTGACCGGCCCATCTCACCTTTGCGGCTTTCCTTCCTATGCCCCTCCTTTGGATATATAACCTATTTATTCCATCCCAAGAACTTTCCATATCATTCCCAGGTAAACACAGTTGTGCTCACTGCACCCTCAGCACAGCAGACATGTTAGTCTGCTAACATGTCTACCCAGTGTCTTCAGTGCTTGCTGCCTCTACAAGTCTTGCCCACTGCCAAGACCACTGGCTGTTGGTAGGTGTCTGTTCATGTCCTTTCCCTATCCTGGGAATTTCATAATTCTATAAGCACTATCCTGGGACCTCCAGGAGACTTGACAATAACCAGAGCCCTGCTCCCAAAGAGGCCATGTTCCCTTTCACTAACACAGAAGTCCTGGCACAAGCACCCTACCCCTTGGAGCCCCAGCAAGGCTGATGAATACTATGCAAATAGCATCACTATTCTGACATGTCTTTACAGCTCTCACTATAGAATTCCTTCCTGGTGGCATTCCTCATGGTTGGGTGTCAGAAATACATAAAAATATCTGACACAAGTTCATGATCTAAGTATAAAACTAGACTCTTCCGATGATGATGATGGATAGTGTGGCGATCAGTGTTAAAACCCATTTCCATTACAAAAAAATATTTAATACAATCTGCCTACCTACAAAGATTCACATAAATTCTGTGAAAATACCACAAAAGCTAACAGAGTTTTCATCACAAATAGGATGGCCTTAACAACTAATCCATTGCACAGGGCATCCCCTGCATGGAATTAGATTCTCTTGTTTTTACAAACAAGGAAAACTAAAGCATACATATGTTAGTGGCATATTCCAATAATAGATCTTCCCACAGTTCTTAAAATTATTATCCTTTCCTAACTTTTAAGTAGCAACAGAATCATTATGGGCCCACTTTTGAGGCTAGTTGAAGAATGAGAAACTACAGGCAGACAATAAGGACCACAGCAGCTTCTGTTTGATAGAGATGTTGTCAGTGTCCTGGGTAGTAAATGGCAGAATGCTGTTTGCTGCACTCACAGACTGCGTTACTCACTTGGCATTTAGCACATGCCTCCTTGAACTGTGATGCGTTTTTATGGGCTTCTCCAGCAAGGCAGACCGTAAACTTCTCAGATATACTTTTTTAACCTCAGCACTTAACAGAGAGTTTAACACATAGTAGACAACCAGTAAATGTTTGTGTCAAGCTATGATAAACTAGGAACCCCCTGGCACACACAACACACATTCACATAAAAGACTGTAATATCCTATAGTTATCCCAAAATTAATCCTTTGGACCTCGTTGGCTGCCTCTTCAAACAGCCTGCTGTCGTTACTAGTCCTGTTAAGATATGGTGCCTGTTCTAAAGTCTGCACACTGATGTACTTACCTGAGATAAGCAAACAGACTCAGGAGAGAGCTGACACATCCAAACCCTAAGGACACTGCTGCTCCTGAGAATCAGTGGACAGTCAAACTGAGTAAACACTGAGAAGACAGAGTGGCAGAGCTCGATCAAGAATGGAGTCGGGTGAGGAGACTTCTGAGTGCTTGTGAGAAAACTCCAAGAAACCAAGACACCAGCTTGTGACCTCAGTTTCTTAAAAAACACAGAATTGTTCTTGGAATGTGTTTTTGTGCTCCTTCCAGGTATAGTGGGAAAAAATGTTTATTTCAGATTACTCATTACAACTGGCTATTGTTATTTATTTATATGCCTCTATGGAAACCATGGTTTTTCCACGTGCTGTCTTGTCAGCCATGTGTGGCTTGCCCTTGTGCTTTACCCAGGTGACTCCTCTTAACCCTCAGACTATATGTTGTCTGATGCTCTTGCATGACTATTGTTGTTGGCTATTGCATGAGACTTTAGTCCGCCTCATTTATCAGCTCTGTTCTCCCAGGTCCCACTCACTGCCTTAGAGCACTGAACAGAACAGAATTCAGTCTTCCTAATGGATTAGAAAGTGACTGTGACTTTGCAGACACACAGTCAGGATCATCACTATGGGCAAAGTCCCACCACAGAACACTGAAAAAATTAATTAGGTATGTATGGGGTTTTGATTGTTTAGTGTATAATAAATACTAGTAAGCATCTCCTGGATATTAATATGTATTAGTGGGCTTACCAGTCTATAATTTTAATGATTTTACTATAATGTTCTATAACATATATGCAACATTTTAAAATACAAATTTGCATATAGAAATATGCATAAGAAAACATATAGTCTAAAAGTGTTTATTACTTCAACTGGGCACACAGGTCTTAAGCGGATATTCAACTCCATGTGCCACTGAGACAAGCTCAACATTCTTAAAATTCTGCACAGGTTTCTGGACTCACAGAAGGGGAGGAAGAGGGTTGAGAGAACGCAGCTAAGGCTCTTTGGGGTTTTAGTTTAGACATGGGCAACACTGTAACTCCTACCTGTGGCCCTTGAGCCTTTACTTCTTTCTGTGGAATCATGCTATCCACTCAGTTCTTAAGTCGTTTCCGACATTTCTGCATGCCTGAGACTACTTTGAAGATGTGGTGTACAGAGAAGTGCTAATCCATAAGCCAGGAAGCCTGAAGCACTGTGGTCCAGTGCATGCTGTGAACCTGACCCATCCAACTCTCTAGGCCTGCTCCCTCATAATAAAAGAAACTGGATGCTAAGATCAGTGGACAGTCAAATTCAGTGAGCATCCAAGTTTTCTAGCAGTTTATGGCAAACGTAGAGCCCTTCCCAAGACGATTCTGATACGGTATAGATGGGGTAGGAACCCGAAACCCTTATTTCTCATGAGCATCTTTCCCCATTCCTTTCCAGGGACTCTGATGGATAAAGGCTGGGGCTGGTTCCCTAGGTTCTCAGAGACCTCTAAGGTCCCTGGAAGATCTAAATGACAGTGCAAATTATACTGTCATATCTTCCAAAACTAACAGTTTCAGTTCTTGGTCAATTTCTAAACATCACTATGGCAAAGAAACCTGAGCCCAGTCTAGAAGTATTAATTCCCCATGCTGTGGATGGAATGGAAGATCTGCATGTGCTCTGTGAGAGCTCTACTGCCAGCTAGCTATCCCCAGAGCACTATTATCACTACCAGGAAGCTTCCTGTTCAGCTGAGGAAGGATTAAAGCTTTTTAGCCTTGAATCCAATGTACTTTCCTTTGAAAGAGACAGGGTGGTCGGGAGGAAGATGAGAGGCTACTGACCTGATACAGAGTCACTGTCTTCCAGACAGCACATATCATTTGTTTCAAGAAAGAAACCCTGTTCTGTTGATTGACAGCAAAATTTCCTTCACTGTCATACTGCATGCAGACCATGGACTGAAAACATCTGAAGCAATTCTTCACAAACAGGCACAATCTGGGATTTTAATTTATCATTGTGTATGTGTGAGGTTTTCAACAAGGGAAAGTGTACTTTCTTAAAAATGACTGTTAAGAAACATTTTTTTTCAAGAGTGCCAAAAGTGGACCCTGAAAGGCAACATTATGGGGGAAAATAGAGCTGGAAAGTAGACAGACAATAATTAATTGAAATAACTAATTAGGGCCTATTTACATATATTTTTATGTACTTTCAAACAGATTTTCAATAACTTTCTAAATTCAAGGGCATCTGTGGAAGGGGACACTCTACATGCCAGATCAAAGCAAACACATTCTCCCAGGTTCTTTTTGAAACTTTTCAGAGTGTTCAATTCATAAGAACAAAAAAGTATTTCACAAGAGAGCTCACTGGCCTTTTTTTTTTTTTATCGCTTCCCACCCCACTTCACATCTTTAATGAACACATGCTCTAAGAGTTTAGCTTCCCCCTGATACTCTTTTGGAAACAAATGTTACCATTTATCCAGAACCGTGTGTGCTGCATATACAGTCCATTTCCCAAGCAGTCTTTACGAAGACATCCAAAAGAGCCTAGGCTTGGAACTGAAATTCTGGCATACTTTTCCACAAAGCACAATCTTT